ATCTTACTAATATTATAAATGTGAAAGTTTGTATGTTTGGATGTTTGGGAAATCATCACGCGGAAACGACTGAACGGATTTGCATCAAATTTTGTACCCAAGTAGCTTATGGGCCAGATTGGTTAATAAGAAATTTTTTTAAGAGTTGCCACCTGTTAAAAAAGTTTAATTTATTTAATATAAGGGAACGACTGAATGGATTTGCATGAAAATTTGCGCACACATAGCCTATGACTTAGGTTGGAAAATAGGCTACTCTTCTTAAGAGTTGCCACCTGTTAAACAAGTTTAATTAAATTAATACGCGGAAACGACTGAATAGATTTGCATGAAATTTTTCAAGCAGATAGCTTATGATCTACAGTGGAAAATAAGCTAACTTTTTGGAAGAGTTGCCACCTGTTAAAAAGTTTAATTTATTTAATATGCGGGAACGTCTGAATGGATTTGCATGAAAATTTGCTCACAGATAGCCTATGACTTAGTTTGGAAAATAGGCTACCTTTCTTAAGAGTTGCCACCTGTTAAAAAAGTTTAATTAAATTAATACGCGGAAACGACTGAACTGATTTGCATGAAATTTTGCACACAGATAGCTTATGACCTAGGTTGGAAAGTAGGCTACTATTTTTTAAGAGTTGCCACCTGTTAGAAATGTTTAATTTAATTAATAAGCGGAATGGAGTGAACTGATTTGCATGGAAGTTTTCACACAGATAGCTTATGACATAGATTGGGAAATAGGCTACTTTTTTAAGAGTTGCCACCTGCTAAAAAAAGTTTAATTAGATTAATACGCGGAGAAGTCTGAACGGATTTGCATGAATTTTGCAAGCAGATAGCTTATGAAGAGTTGTCACTTATTAGAAAAGTTTAATTAAATTAATACGCGGAAATGACTTAACTGATTTGCGTGAAAGTTTGCATACAGATAGCTTATGGCCTAGATTAGGAAATAAGCTACTTTTTTAAGAATTGCCACCTGTTTGAAAAATAGGCTACTTCCTTAACCAGTTTCCCGATCAGAACGAAATTTGGTACACTTACTACGGATTTCGGAAGGATGGTCTTAGACTGAAAGTAAGTCCGATAACTCAACATACATACATATCTCTGGAAGTATTTGTGGGAGAAAACTGGAACTTGGTATAGTGATATGTATGTGAAATCAATGTTGGCAATAATCGATTGATGTTTTAATCAATTAGTTAATACGATTAAATTCGATCTGATTACAGTTAATCATGATTAATTTTAATCTGACTAAACAGTTAATCGTAACCGCGATCAAAAAAAATTTAATTTTTATCATTAACTCTTAATTTGATCAAGTATATTTGGTGATTAATTAATTTATGCTGTAATTTTCCTGTGCACACAAAGCAAGTTAATCCGATATGGCTAAGTCGGGTTTCCTCATCAATCTGAGCAATTTGGTATATATACCAACAAACGTTTTACAAACCAGATTTGTAAAAGTTCCCAGTTTATCTATTACTAATAACAATAATTATAATTTTTTGTATATCATGTGCTTTCTATAAGCGTAAAGCACATAATAATTATTATAACTGGTGTTTGGTTTCAAATTCGGACAAACCAGACAACTTAATCAGATTTTAATTTTTAATTGGATTAACGATTGATGTTTAAAATTAATTAATCGTAATCGCAGCCAGCGATTAACGATTAAAAATTTTTATTAATAATCGTACAGTTGATTACGACTAATTAATTTTAATCGTCAAGCGCGATTAACATTTTAATCCCTAATTTTTAATCGTTAATCAGATTAACATTTTGCCAACACCGTGTGAAATTATATTCATATTCACGGAGAAAAATGGACGTTTTTGGAAAAGAGGCATAGCACCTCCCATACTGACTGAAAGTTTCATATTGCATATCTCTTCAAATGTTTGGGGTAAAGTACTCAAACTTGGTATGGAAATACATATGTATGTATGTATGTGAAACTAATACCATACTCATGGAGAAAAATGAGTTATTGGAAAAGGTGGTGTGGCAACTCCCATGAAAATTGACTTTTCTGTGCTGCATATCTCTGGAGGTGTTTATTGCAGAGGACTGGAACTTGGCACCGAGATGTGTATACAAAGTTAGTTCCATACTCATGGAGAAAAATTTGCGTTATTCGAAAAGGGGACATGGTACCTCCCGTACAAATTTACTGTTTTATACTGCATATCTCTAGAGTTGTTTATGGTAGAGTACTGGGACTTGGTACTGAGGTATGTAAAATCAATTCTAAATTCATGGAAGAAGATTAGGGTTATATGAAAAAGGGGCGTGGCACTTTCTGTACAAATTGATTTTTTCTTGCCACATATCCCTGGAAGTGTCTGTGGAACAATACTGGAACTTGGTATGGTGTTGTGTATACAAAATGTATCAATAGCTCATGGAAAAAATGTGAGTTATTAAAAAAGAAGGCATGTCGCCTCCCATACATACTAAAAACTTCTTAATACATATCTCTGGAAGGACAGAAAATCTCTGGAAGTATTTTAAATTTGTTATGGAGATTTATTCTATAAGTGCCGTACTGACAGAAAAAAATTCATTTAATGGAAAAGGGAGAGCCGGGTTCGGCCTTATAATCTAAAGCTCTCTTGAGGCATTTGTTACAGTAATGAGAAGAGGTATTTTATCAAGGACAGGTTACAAAATTTGAGTTAGAAATATTAGAACCCGCCTTGCCACCTCCAAGAAGGTTACACGTTTACGCGTCGTATAACTGGAACCATTTTAAAGTTGACTTAGAGGGATTGATATCTTTCGTATGCCTAGCGAGCAGATGAGATTTTATAATTTCATTGTTTTAAACGGCCTAAGTGCCTTACCTCGCTTAAAAAATAACGAGCTATAACGAAATGTGCACAGAAATAAAATATAAAATCATTAAATTATTTTACATATTTGTATAAAAACGTGGGGTGAAACCCGCGGGTATAAGCTAGTTCTTAATAAATGAACAATAGTATTTAACTTTCCCAATAAATGACTGCAGTTCTTCTAAATTTTTGGATATGGTATTTTCCTGATTGTATACCAGTAGCGCTTATTATATGATCTAAGTACTCAACTTTGCTTTGCATAAATGAGCATTTATAAAGATTACAACAAAATCCACTTTCATATAATCTCTGCAATAGTAACCTAAGATTGCGAACATGTTCCTCATCGGTTTCGCCTGTGCAAATAATATCGTTTAAATAATTAACACAACCAGGAGTTCCACTGATTGTTCAATCAAACGTTGAAAAATTGCAGGTGCACTTGCTACACCAAACGGTAGGCGCTGATATTGGTAAAGGCCTACTAAGGGTGTATTCACTACAAGCAATTGTTTTGAATCATCACCAACTTCAATCTGCAAGTAAGCATCTGATAGATCTATTTTACTAAAAAGCTTTCTTTTTCGTAATTTATTGAAAATATCTCTAATGCGAGGAATCGTATATTGCTCTACATCTATTTCTTGGTTAATTGTTACTTTGAAGTCGCCGCGAACGCAAATCTTCCCATTAGGTTTGGGTACAATAACAAGTGAAGCCCACTGACTGAATTTGATTGGCTCTCAAATCCTTAAATCAGTTAGTCGTT